ACCTCGCTCAGCCAGTGAGCGGGAACCGGTCTGTATGTGGGATCCGAACACTCGGCAGGAGTGTCGCTGCGCTCCCAAGCGGTGCACTGTAGCAGTGCGCCACCGGGCCGGCCCGGGACCAGATTCTAACTATCTAAAAATGTGACTGATATAACAAAAAGTGTTCCAAATGTGGCTATTCTGATCCATGGCTTAAAAAAAAAAATGTGCTTACAGAAAGAGTAAGAACGTTTTGTGAATCTAATGCAAGTTAGCTTCTAGTCTTCATTGCCCACATGCTTTATTTACAGTTTTGGCTCCTTCACATATTTGCCTTTTTAATTTTGAAATTTATTGTTTTACCTTCAAAAGACACCATTTTTTAAATTGTAAATAGTATGTAACATACGTAGAAATAAAAAGCAGCATTTTGAAATAGTGGAGGTCAATGAAATTCTACTCTTTTGAATCAGTTGAGCTAAATGAATCTGGGGCTCTTGTTGAGTGGAAATGGGTGATGGGAAATTCCTGTCAAATAAGCAAGAGTTACTCATGATGCTTGGACTTGGGGGTAGATTCCATCCACTGTTGCCCTGGCACATGTCAATTGCTACAAAAAAGGTCAAATGCAATGTCAAATCCAAAGCCTCAGAGGAAGATCAGTTCAGTTCCCAAGACAACAGTGACAGCTTAACAATGTAAAACTTCACCTAGAGTATATCAACATTAAATTAGTACTGCTGAAGCAATACATTGAGGATTTACAGTAATGGCTGAAATTCCTTCCAATGTACATATAAATAGAATCGTGGAAGCTTTTCATGTTACCCGTTTTATAGCCTTATAGATTTAATGAACCAAATGAAAACTAAATCTTCATTCCACATCCCATCCTTTATCCCCAGACAAAAATCTGTTCTTATTTTCAAGGTAGAGTTTTAAGTATCCATATGTCATAAGACACATGGAGGGAAATCATGTCTTAACTAATTTTTGATGTTGTTTCTCTTCCTCTTATGCATGAAACTCCACCAGATTTTATACTGGCATCCATCACCTAGTCAAGCCCTTCACTTATTCTTCCAACTGATCACATTTGGGATTCCCAACATTTTCTGCGTTAATAAAATAAGGTGTAGAATTAGTAGGTTTGATGAAGACCTGCTTTTCCCTTGCCACACCGGACTCCTAGATGCCACTTGGATTGGATTCAAAGATGGGGAAGGTATACGTTTCTTGTCCCGAGTCTCTTTACAGTAGAGATGTAGGAGAGAGAGGGAGATGGCAAGGAGACTGGCTCTGGACTGTGGGGCACCTCCAGCCACCTTAGTGGTGGCATTAGCTGGATTTGGGGCAGCTGAGGTACTCTTCATGGGTAGGAGCAGTGCCAGAAGCAGCAGCCCCAGCCTGAGCCTGACTACCATCTTTCTGCCCATGTCCCCTCAGTTGGCAGGTGGCATGTCTCTCTGGATGGGTGATTGGAGAACCACTGGTTCTGAGAGGATGCAGGTGAGGTGATTCCTGCAGTTATTTTTATCCATCTTCCTCTAAATTTAAAAATTCCTAAGGACCTGAAACATATCCTCATCACCTGTGCATCACCATTAGACCTGGGATAGGAACTTGCATCTAATAGGCACTTAATGTTTACTCTATTATTTTTTCAAAAGTCAGTGAGACAGAATCTTGGGTTATACATTTCACCTCTTTAAAATACAAATTATTGTAAAAATACTGTAAATAAACATTTTACTAATATATTTATTAACTAGTCTTGCTTGTTATATGCACGAAATAAGTGTATATATCACTACTTTCATTTTTAACTGACATGTATGCAAATTTTCAAGTGTGTAAAATAAGAAGGGAATAACTTCAGGGAACAAAACAGGCATTGTATTCCTGCTCCCAATTATAATTCTACTGTTTAGAATTTTCACAAATATAAGTTTTAAGGAATTGAATAAACATCATAGATGTTAAAACATTGTGAGTTAATTTTTTTTTACCAAAGTAGATCAGAGAAAGGAAAATCTCTATTTTCTATGTTATGACTATTCTTTCTCCACTTTTAAAAGTGTATTGCATAGATTCCTGTTAACTGGTCTCAGAATTCAAGAGATTACCATTTACAGAGTTCAACTGATTTATGGATGAAAGGACTTTTGAAGACCGGCCTGGAGACACAACTACCTATTACCATGTTGTCATTATGGAGAAATTAATTTCCAAATTCTACACATCCATATACAAATAACATTTTGTAATATTATAAACAGAACACCATGAAAAGTTGTAGTTAGTACACTGCATGGAGGTGCCTTGTCAAGTGGGTGAACGATGTTG